ATATATATATATATATATATATATATATATATATATATATGGTGAATTTGTGGAAACTAATTGGTGGCTTTTAGTCAAAGTTTTGACCCAGGAACGTGGCCGAAGTATTCGGTTAAGAGATTCTTCTGGCTTAGTAAGTAAGTTTTGTTGGTTTGTTTTTTTATTTTAGTCGCTGTCGCATTCCTTATTGAGCCGTGGTTTTGGATTAGCTCACTGCACTATGTCCAAAAAGGAAGAAGCAAAATGTATGTGAGAAGCACCGTATTGATAGGGGTCTACCCAACCAGTGTAAGCTGCAACTCTCTTAAAATACTAGGTTTTGCTTGCCGGTAAGGAAAATCCCGAAGCAATCCACCGTTTCGTCCATGGAGTGTAAGATTTAAGCTGTGAGCTTCTTTTTTTGTGTTTATTCGGTAGGGTGGTTAAATAAAAGCCAATAGATACACAATCATGCGATTTTGGGATACAAAGCTTCCTTTGATCCCTGTCTAGTAATCCTTCTTGCATGTTTTTGTCTACAGCTTAAAAAAATGCGTCCTGTAAAATCTTATGAATCACTGAAACGCACAAAGCATGACACGACTTAAAAGAATAGTCTCATGACTGCATGGTGTGACGGGAGGTGTTTGGAGAGTAATAAGGTAATAATAAAAAAATGTTTATTTGCGGCTCAATATGTTGCATTCGTTTTCTACAGCCCATTCAAGACAAGTGTTTTAAGCCGGTTGTGTTATGTGCACTAGTATATCTTCATATAGTCCTGGTGGCTTCCACCGCTGTCAAAATTTTCTCACTCAGTTCCTTGGTTTGAATGATGTGAACGTTGTGTACGTCGCAAAAATTAAAATCTATCTTTGCTGGAATCCTGTTTTCTTTGTCAGTCAGACATTATTTCTCTAGCGCTTGATTATTCCTATCGAAAAGCTCCTTCAGTACATTTGGAGTTTGATCGAAGCTGGAAGTAGTGTTGGGGAAGAGATCACGTGACGAATAGCAAAAGGGATAATAACTTTCGCCAACTTGTCCCATATGTGGTGCCGTCATGATGCCTAACTTTTCCCTTAATGGATGAGTGTGTATTGCGCGGTTTCCAGCGCAAAGTCCAGTCAAAGTGAGTTTGATGCACCGGAAGGGTGAATTTTCAGAGGTTTTTACGATGAAACAATTGAAACGAAAAGAGAAAACGCAAAGGAAAGCGGTAGAAAGAAAACGATAACAGTGAATAACTAAACAATAATAATAATTAAAACAAGTAACTCAAGAGGTGTTCCACCAGACCTGCTACAATTGGTGCTCGCTTCCCTAAAACGCGGGTAGGATGAAGGAGGATGCTGCCGCTGTATGTGGTGCTGCTTGCATAAAGGCGATTATTATGGGTGTCGGTAAGGGGTTTGACACTGATTTGTGCGAACAGTGATTTTCATTGTTCAAGGTTCTATTAGAAATTTTTTCACATGTATGCATATACTTTTAAACAATAAAATCAACCAGGGCCTTTTTGGCCATACTTTTACATCGAGAGAGAAGCTTAGTGGATCTGGAAAATAATATGAAATCCTTTTCTTTATAGTTGGAGAAATATTGTAAGAGAGCAATACAACCAACGAGGAAGGACGCATGGGACCACAAATTTGAAAATCAAATTTAGGTGAGCTGCAAGCTGCCTAAGCCTAAAAACACTAAAAGATGACTACCGATCCCATTGTAGACATTCTCTGGATGACTAGCACAGGAGAGATCGTGCGACAGAACTATGCGGGGGTATGTAACAGAGCCAGCTTTGGTAATGCTTTGATCGGTAACAGGTAGTTCGGGCAGATTATGTACAAAAATGTGATAACGGGAGACGAATTTAAGGTGGCAGGAAACTGTTGTAGATCATCAATCAGTGAGGTACTGTGAGCACAACAGAAGAGGTAAGCAGTATCGTAAGCTTTATTCAACTGAATAATGGAGTAAATTGCTACCATAAGAAAGAGGGTGTATATATATACACTAGGAGAACGAGATGTAGACTACCCATATATAAATATATATATATTTATATGTATAAAGCATCGATGTTAATTCATAGTATCTCTCTATTTTCATTAGCAAATTGGGATATAAACGCTTGGGGTTTCCTTAAAACTAGATGATGTAGTTTTTGGTGCTTGTCTAGCCGAGTCAAATGCGGCGCTTGCCTGATATGCACCAGATTCCTCTTAATTCAATAATCAAAGAGGTCTGTATTGGCATTAACTTATATTGAGCAAGTTTAAGTGCTGCAGAGGATAGATTGAATAAAACGAGGAGACTGTAGCGAGTAATCTGTTATAAGATAATGTCAAAGTTTGAAGTGAGGATGGCTTGTTCAAGAAGAAGCCAAAGTCTTCTAGTATGAATGACAAAGTGCGTTTGGAATTTCCCTGTAGTAAGTGGGAGGGGAAAGGAATAAGTTAGTCATTGTTTCTCATTACCATAGGGGCATCCGCGTTAAGATTAAGTTTTTCTACCTACGAAACTGAGGCTTCATAGGTCTGGTAGCGATTTCTTCAGCTGTGGGAAGAGGTCTCTATCGTAATCATTTGATTCGATTTGTCTACGGTGCTATTGCCATATTGTGTGTAGTCTTTGGATCCAAATTGTTCCTTAGTATTTACGTCACTTAGGTAAACATTCATGAGAAGTTTTGTGATTCTGCATTCAAAGGTAGTAGGATAAAAATGCACCAAAAGGTGTCCTACAACTTAGCCATTGTAGATCAGTAATGGTTTCAAATGTAAAAGGCAGACGAAACTGGTAAATAACTTTTGTACAATCTCTGATTTTCAGTGAAATCTGGGAAAATGTTTTTGTTATTTCCCAGAATACTTTTTTAGCTTAGCATTTTACTGTTTTTTTATTCAAACAAGATGAGTTCCCGATTTTCACATGTAGAAGGTTAGCATCCAAATTGGGTACTTTGCCAACTAATTATTTCACTATTTTGCCGAACGCTTCGAATAGACAGAGTCGCGGATCCAAATAAATCATAGACAGAGCATGAAACGAATGAATTCGGTTACAAAAGGAGGCTATGCGTTTTTGTCATAAGATCGAATGTCAAATGTAATCACCTATTGCCCCAATCACAATGTTGATCCATATCTCGTCCCCCAAAGAGCATTTCTACGTCGTAATTCCTTTCCTGAAAGCTAATTGTATATCCCTCACAAAAGGGAGGTACGGTATCATCATTATTACATAATTATAATTAATTCACATTCATAAAAATAAAAACACTATCGTTCTTGATTTTGTTCTTGGTGAATCGTTCCCCGTTCTTTTCCACGTGTGAAATTAATGCCTCCTCTTTTCGTTTTCGGTGTTGTTGCGTTAGCGCTCTGCTTGTTTCCATGCGAGTGCAAATATACTGAGAATAAGTGAGACACGTGATTTACACTAAAATTCTGAGCAGGCCACGAATTATCAGTTGGTAATCCATTCTGGTTTACTACTGAAATCATTAATTCAGCTTAGATCTTTAGAATACACAGGCTTAGGATTCTAACTAAATGATTTGATCCATAAGGCGCTGAGTCGATATTTGGAATCCTGCGTTTGATTAAATAAAATGTGCCCTTTGGATGGGCTAATGTATCCAGGGCGTCGATTGGATGGGTGAACGTTTATTCTGGATGTCCTAGGGTTGTTTCGAGTCGAGATTCTCCAGAAACCATTGACTAATTAGATTCAATTGGTTTATAGACCTCCTTACGACCTCGGGTATCTGTACCACAACCCCCCCCCCCCTATTTCAATGAAAACACCATCTGAAATGTGGTAAGGGTTCTACCTCAGCGCCCGAATGCAAATCATAAGTGAGTGGTTTCAGAGAATGGGATAATTGTGACTTATTTATTAGCCTGCATACTCTACAAACGTTCAGCGATAAATTGGTATATATGAATCTACTATAATTGTCCATTTGATCATATTATGACGTCTAAAGGCTGTAAATATTGCACACAATACAAGCCGAGACGAGGAAAAGGTGACTGACTGGTTTCGTTTTCCTGGCTGTTATATCCCTTGGCTACCTAGACAGGAGTTGGAGGTTAACTTGAAGAAATTTCGAGCGTTGAGGAATTTTGTTCCATACACCAGGCAATTTGAAGGCAATTCTAGTCCACAGTGTATTGGAGGTCTGTCTTCGGTTGGTCGCACTCCTTCGACCGGGACCCTTACATTTAGCGTGTTCAATTTACTGCGTCACCTAATTCAACCGGTGATCTTATACTCCACTGTTCTGGGGTGAGGTCATATACATCATGGCTGATTTCAAGTCTGCCAGTTCATTGAACCAGTNAACCAGTTAGCTGGTAATGCTTCTTAGATTGATTTTAGTTGCGGAGATTAGCTTCTCCCCCAATCACCTCGGTGAAAAACATCACCGCCAATCGAAGGCAGTGAATAAGATTGTCACATCAAAGTTCATGAACGTAGGTCATTAGAGAAGATTTCTTGCAAAACTCGGAACGACGAAGTTCTCTAAACGAAACATTTACCCCCGGCCATGTTGGTACCTTTAAGGGTCACTTAGAAAAGAAATTTAGCGAACAATATTCCGGTTACTTCGAGCGGGTTAACAGAGAGAAGCAGACGAAACAGTTTTTTATTTTGGTGGGTAATGAAATGTCCGAAGAATAGTCATATATGAAGCTCCTCCTTTATTGTCCCATTCCCAACTATAATCATTTACACTGTTCCTTCATGTTCCATAGATTTCACACATTTGATCGTAAATGCAGTATTCTACACTTAACCGAAATCATTTATTATGTCAAACGACAACACAATGGTGTTTGCATTTCGTCTCAGGCTTGTTATGGTTTTCAAGCCATTTCTGTGAATCTCGTCTTCCATTCAAAATGCGGTTATTCGGCCATTTCATTGATGATACAGCGCATGTTCTGGTCTGATTCATAAAAACGTTTCCAGTTAAACATAAACTACTCGCTCTATCACGATAAGCTTCGCGCGTAATTAATTAATTTTTGCAAAGTTGCCTGTGGATTCTAATCTTACCGATACGTGTTTGCCGATCTGTTGTCAGATACATACGGAACCAGTGTTTTTATGTCGACCATCAAGCAAAATTTAGAAACCACGGCAATATGCATCAACCGTCGGATTCTGGATATCGGAGAATTCAACGAGCAGTTCTGCCCCCGACAAACCCCACCCCAATCCACATTTGGGGCTAGAGTGCGGAATCGTTTCGCATCAATTCGATTTGGAACACTCATAAACTACATGTTCCCTTTTTACAGAATTCTCGCATCGTTTTACACATTTTCGTGTTTCATATCAGATGTTCTAGCTGGACTGACCATGTCAATTCTTCACGTACCTCAGGGTAAGTTGCAGAGTAATGCCTAATTGATGGATAACCCCATATCTTACAGGAATGGCATATGGTTACCTGGCCGGATTGAAACCAATCAACGGTCTGTACACTTCTTTCTTCCCTCCACTGGTCTACTTTTTATTTGGAACCTCTCGACATATATCAGTTGGTAAGTATTATTATAATAACGGTTTAATGCTTCATTTGACTGGGATCCACTTGTTAAGCTCCCTCCTTTTGTGGAGGCTCTGTTTCCTTTTTCGGTCGCAGTCAATGTGCCCTCAAGTCTCAGTTTTTACAACAATTAACCATGCATTTTCGTGTACCTGTTTTTTCTTGTTGTCTTCTGGCTGTCCATTTAAATAAAAGATCAGAATGAAGATTGGAATGCGGACAACAGAGACAAAGAGAAGATAGAGAATTCAAGAAATTTACCGCGTAAAAAGTGGAACGGAATTTGTGGTTGTTTTGATAATGTTATGTTTGATATCTAGTTGACTCGCTTGAATAAACTCTTGGTTGATCGTGGGAATGTCTAAGCTGGACACAGATAGGGCCCATGCTCAATACACAGTACAATCTAAGTTTCCATACATATGGTTTCAAGCATTCTGATCTGATAAGAAGTGACATCAATAAAGCCACTACCGTCTGTTCGTTGACATATCCTTTATTGTCTCCAAACGATCTCTTGCAGAATCTTTTCTACCCAGCCTGGAAGATGGGAGACCTACTCTACCTAATCTCTCTGTGCATTTTTCCATGCCTGGTTTCCACATTGCCTGTTGATCACGTGATTTCCTTCAACTTGGAGCCGCACCAGCGAGTAAGGTGTCAAGCGGTAGATGACAACTGGGCACGTACAATGTCTGTCCTAACCAGCGAAGCGTTCCAATCTGAATTCGCTGTGATCGTCCGTTTCCTTCCGAGTCATTCCCAAAATACTCGTCGGCTTACCACAATGCTGTTTGTGCACTCGCTTCATCCAACCCGCGCCAAACTACGTCAACACTGACATTGGAAGACGTCCAGACGACCAAAGTCTTTCACGCGCTAATTTATGATCTCACAACTGTAAAGTAGAGCTGATCGCACAGTGGCGCAGTGTACGCGACCCTTCGATTTCAAGGAAATAGCACGCTGGGGTGAAAGGTGTTTCATTTCTGCATACACCGCTCGTGTCTTGGAAATGATGGCGGGTACTTCCTTTGTTATGCTACCGTCATTTGTCACGCAACGACCCATATGGGAGAAGCAATTCACTCAAGCTAATTCTTAACTATCAAGCATCAGATCTAGAGTATACAACATCTTGTCTTATACAACGTCTTACATTACCACTCTGATGGTGCTTTACAAAATAGGTTACTCTTTTCGAACACCACTGCAGGTTTCGAACGGTTTGCCTAGCCAACCGTAAACCCTTGCGTTACATTAAGTGTGTGATTGAAGTAATATCAATAGATTTAAATCCTTCCACGGTATTCCTTTGCTAAGTATTGCACTCTTCAGGGCCTCGCGGCCAGCTGAATCGAAGGCTGCTTTGGGTTCAAAGAATGCTGCGGTTGTTGGTCGACGTAACTCGAGGACTTGACGCTAGGCGAAGATTTGATCGATATCGGTATCTTGCTTGCCGTTTATGAATGCTCATGTCCCTCAAGCGTGTCACTTGGCGAAGTTTCACAGAATTCAACATTTTTGTGGTGATCAGAATTAAACTTATCTTACAGTGTTTGGTGCAGTCATTGCGTGATCCTTTCGTAAAGAATGACCAATGGTTCGCCCCAGGGTCAAGGGATACGCTCTTCTAATCAAGCGTGTAGCAGACCAATAATACACTCATTAAATAGCCCCCGGCCGAAAAAGGAGGTGAAACCTCGTCTCGCCCGACTGCCTTCTCTTTCATTACGTTACTTTCAAGATTCTTGCGTTTTTCCAGAATTCGAGAGGTTTTCTTTACGTTCAGTAATGCCACAACTAATATTTCCTTGATGCGTTATATTCCACGTTGTTCGTTCACCTTGTCCACAATTGCTGCCCCGATTAATCGTGGAATTGTAAATACTGTTGTTCAATAAACTACTTTGAAGTCAGTTAAGTGCAGTTCAGCTGACATTTCTGGGAGAACTAGACCACAGATAAGGATGTTGGCTTGTTGCACCATCATCGCACCACGTGTCGATCACTAGAACTGCAATTTTTGATTACTGTTAAGGTTGAAATGGATCCTATGGAATTCATGCCTCTCTGCAAGGAATGACTGACTGACACCGCTCAGTAAAGCAACTTTCAGTGAGAGTCAAATCCTTTTTCTGTCTAAAGCCAGAGATGTTGCAAGGATGTGAGTTTCCTCCACTGCTGTGGTGCACATAAATAGACCATGTATAATGACGACCCACTTCTGTATGCATATCGCGTCCTTACAGCCATCAACAGGGTTTGTTATCATTTCAGTCAGTCACAGTAGATCCATGTAAGAAGGAATGTTTGGATTAGCCATAAACCGGGAAAACCTAAAACAATAATTTTCGTTGACGGCGTTTTGATCCTCTTGGAAGGCCTTTTTCGGGTCAACTAGCAAGCAAACAATAAACAAACTGCGGGAGAAACCGGAACGAGGGTTTTGATTGGTCAAAGTAAAGGAAAAACCGAGTGTGTGGTTAATGAGATTATAGCAAGTAGTGAATGAGCAAGAGGTCAAAGAGCAACGGTTGACGTAACAGATGACGGGAGATTACAATCAATAAGGAATTCTAAGGTGTAGCGAGATGAAATGTTTAGGTGTGAGTATGTGTTTGTGTGTGTGAACTGATAATATAGCCCTACCAGATCGATTGACGCACTGTGTTGATGGTGGGTGCTCGGTCCGAATGTGAAAAGCGTAGTGCCGACGGTCTGACCTCATGGTTTAACTGGACAGTTTGCGCTGTTCAGAAGCGTAAGCGGCAGCCATGCATCGTTTCAAATCCCATCAAGGCTACTGAACTTTTCACGACTAGAGCATACCACTTCAACCTGCTGAACAGCCTAAACTGAATCAACAATTAATCTTTCTCTATATGTATTGTATCGTGTTTGGATTGACCCATTCAGCTGATCACAGACATCCGGCATTGTTGATTGCCTTGGGTGCAGTTTTCACTCCTTGGAAGATCGTTAATTCCCCACCAGTCAAATGCATTTCTATGGCATGTAACTACCTTTGGCGACTGACACAGATCAATAAACAGCTATTTCGTCCTATTTGGGACTAGTCAGCAGTGCGCATTTTTTTGTCGCTGTGCCGCTCAGTGTAAAGGTATCAACTCCGTACCCCAAGGTTCGCGGTTCAAATCCTGACTGGGACGCAAGAAGTACGCACTGTTGACGGTTCCACCTATGAGGAAACAACTGTCTAGTGCATTTTGTCGGCCACCCTAAATATTTCCATCGCATATGCGTTCTATAAATGACCTGAAACTTCGTTAGAACAGAGAGAAGACAGATACTGCAAGGTGCTAACATTTCTTTTAATCTCTTCAGTCGCTACAGCGTAAAACAATCCGGTTTTTATACAAGCAGGTTTTGCTAACTGCCGTAGTACAACGGACAATAGTCAGCGTAACGAGGGAATGGGGTGGGTGGAAAATCAGTTCCGTGGCAATCTGACTGTTTGTGTAAGAAACTGTGCGCACAAGGTTGGGTTACGTAACTTGATTAGCAGCCCCCCAGCGAAACGCCAAAATCCTGGGGTTCATGTTACGTAATAACGGCTTGAACGACAATTGTGGGTCAACGATGTGTCCAGTTGGCATGACATATTTTTCGATGGATGACCTTGGATTTCTCTGATCGGTTTGCTCTCTGAGACTCTGTTGAGTCATTAATTGTACCAACCACTTGGGAATGTGTTCAGACATCCGCTGTGACAGGGGCTGATTCGTTCTGCCGCTGTAAGTATCAGCGCAACTGCAGGTGAACTGGTAGACGACATGGGAAACAGAATTGTGCGGCTGGTTCTGTTTTCGATTGTCTAGCCGAAGTCCTTGGGTATACGGTATCGATCGAAGCTATGCGGCAGGGAACGTTCGACACAATGCTGCCTTGAGCTTTTGACGTACGTCGTTCATTATATAATCAACTTTAAAGGCGAGTCTGCTGAAGACGCTCTTCTTCAGTATTTCGCAGACGGGATCAACCAGTCTGCTACTCACATCAATAACTTTCTCTGGATAACCATTATCCAGTAACGTCCTTCGCAGAAAGGTCTCTTCTTCTTGAAGAGTGTCAGGGAAGCAAATATTTCTGGCACGATAGAACAGAGTCTTCACTAGACCTCTTTTGCGTGCCACAGGAGCGAAACTAGCAAATTGTAAATATTGTCCTCTCCATGTATTCTTCCGGTAGACGCATCTTTATAAGATGCCATCTGATCGCCTCCTAATTTTTATATCCAAAAAATTCAAGCAACCATCCAACCTGAAACTTATTTTTAGATTGGTTTTGTGAAGTCTATATATGTACTGTTGCTCAGTAATGGAATGTAGAGCGATTTCGACTGCATATAACCTTTCTATTTTCTTCCTTCAATTTTGTACTGGTTAATTCGAATGACTGGTCACTGTCCACCTATTGCCAACTTGATCCCTTTACATGCCAAATCGATAAAATACGAAGTTGCCTTGATCAAGCTTTTGTTGCTCTGTTTATCTAGGTACATATTCTGTGGTTGCCTTATTGGGATCTGAACCAGTTGATCGGTTATCCGATTCATTTATTCCATCTAATGATAGCTCAAACGGCACAGATACATTCACAGAAGAGCTTGCTTCCTACCGGTTGACTATAGCCGCCACAGTCACCATACTAGCAGGACTACTACAGGTGAGTATTGTGCAATTGATTACATCCTTGTGTAAGCTGTAACAACTCTTTCATCTTTTACTCCCTTTATCTGGAAGGTATTCAACTGATTTGTGCTTCTTAATAATAGCATGAAAATAGTAGTTATTATGAGTTATTTTATTTACTCTTTGCTAGATCACCCGTGACGGAAGACAAAGTTCGGTGAGCTGAGCGTTTGTAATGTCACTATGTGTATAAGACAAACAAGGATATGGAGGCGTAATGTGAAACAAATGTGACAGAGGCAAGAGAACCACATCGAGCTGATGTGAATTACACAATCTTGCTATACAAATGCCTCTCCAAACAGTTTGGTCAGACAGTGCTTATCCATCAATGCTTTTAACCAATAGAAATATTATCTTCCGGACAGAACGATGCGCATATATTATGTTGTTGTTAATGCAGTATATGTATTGCCAATACTGAAGCGTTGTTGTTCACGCTAACACCGATACCACCATTTAGGTAGTGACTTGGACTATCGTGATGATGGTGACTTTGAATGACGTGTGTACACAGATTCAGTTAGAGTATGGGTTGAAATCATGCAGTGAGTGTTACCAATTTGATGTCCAAATGAGGGGCTCAAGGCAAGCTTTTTGAGACCGACAACAATCGAAAGTGCATACATTAGTGTGATGAACAGCAGAAGAAATGAACCCTATAGTCATTTCTTATAACCAGGGACACGAACCTTGGGACCTAAATTAGGAAACCCAGTGAAACTGGAGTGGGATTGGGCCGGCGCAGGTAAAGTGGTGAATATTACCAAATTATCATCCATGAGGTCGTATGTTCGAATGCCACCGGTGACGCCTCACTCTATTTATTTTTACTACGACAGTTCTTGGATTAGTCGCTTCCCCCTTCCTGAGAATAAAGTGTTCAATAAAAGGAGGCACGGGAATGAGAAAAAATAATGACTACGAGATTACCTATCACTAAAGTTGGTTGTCGATAAACCTCGGGCCAGAATAGGCCGCCAGAACCAGAACTTCATTATGTTTGAGCGTATATCTATCCCGTTGACATGATCGTAAACAGTTAGTTTTGCCAATCAGTCTCCTTGTCACTCCATCTGTATTGCTGGCATTGTTGTCACCAGTAGTCACTTTTATCTAGTTTTTTATTCATTACCATCGTACTTTTGTTCCACTTCATTTTTTTCCATTCAGTTTGTCATGGGTCTTTTCCATCTCGGATTTTTGGTAGTGTACATATCAGCACCGCTCCTAGGGGGTTTCACGTGTGCCTCCGCTTTCCATGTCTTGTCGAGTCAACTGAGCGCACTGTTTGGTATTCGCTTAAATCGATACAAAGGTCCTGGTCGTTTGATTCTGGTAAGCCTACTTGGTCTAATAGTACCTGTTATTGCTCTTCAATACGCTTTATGTATTCCCGCGGTTTTTGTTGTTTTAAAAGCTCACTTGCTCACGAACATAATTATGACCTCCGTCTTTTCAATGGTGTATCTTCCGCTGTTAGATAAATTAAGATAAGGTTGATAGCACGTAACTGTTAGTTTTACGTGTAACTAAACGCTGTGCCACTTTTGGTCCACCAATTTGTAATTCTCTAGTAGCGATACTCTCAACAGGACTGAGCCTCCTGTCACTGATGTCTTGGCAACCATGAGCAATTGTACTCTAACTGTAGCTCGCGCTATCACCAAAGATCACTGGGAAAGTTCCATAGACATGTGCCCTTTACTTCGTTTTGCCCATCTGTGTCGTACACTTGCATGAAACCAATTCACATTACAAATGGCATCGTGGACACTTGCGGCAGACAATAGACGGAGTATAATACCAGCAAGAAGTTTGGATACAATGTTGATTAAACTAATGCCTCTGTGGTTTTCACAAGAGGATCTGTCACCTTTCTTGTATATCAGTAAGATAACCAATTCACACTATTCAGTTAAAACTTATTTCGTCTCCCATTTTGAACCAAGGAGTTTCGTCAACCCAAACACCATGACTGAGCCTTCATCCATGAAAGCCGTTGGGGACAGCCCGTCCGAACCGAAGGCCTTATACCTTTGGAGATAAATGATTTCCCGGGAAACCTGTATTTCAGATGGAGGACTGATATCTTCTGTCAGTTGAAGCAGGTATATGAAGGTCTTGTGTCGCCGGGGGCCAGCTGAACTGTGCCTTAAAATGTTCAACCCATCGCTAAAAATAGCGTTGCTGAATATAAATCAGTGTTCCGTTAGACCCCTTAAGTAACTCCCGCCTTATTTCTTTGATCCCGTACTCCTAATCAGACGAAAAAGAGCTTGACTGTTACGAATGGCCGCAGCCTTCTCCGTTGCTCTACACTTTCCTTCCAGCCACTTCTTGCGGTCGTTCCTTAGACTTTTGATGAGTCGGCATTTGAGGTGTTTGCTCGCTGAGTCAAATTTGTTCTCAGGAGGAATAGCTTTACGATCGAGGCCGAGGATATCCATCGTTTGTGCTTTGGTCTTGCGCCAGAATTAGCCGTTGTTTTGATTGACATTTGAATGGCTTCCTTGATTTGCATCCAGTGTTCATTGAGTCCTTGGGTTAATGGTTGAGGTGAAAGTTAATCATAGAGTCTCAATTCGAAGGCCGATATGCAAACATCACTTACATTGTATTGTAGGTATCCGTTTTCGGTGGCTTTTCTGTGGTTGTTTTTCAGGCGTAGGGAGAATCTGGTTCATAACATAGCATGGTCCGTGTCCACGGGTGTTCACCAGTGAAAGCGATGTGGTCGACTTGGGTTTAGCGCGGTGAAGAGGTTGGCGGTTTCCATATGAGGTGCGGCCGTTTCTTGTGGGATGCTGGTGATTGATGAGAACAATCCGCGGTCTACCAAAATTTCAATGGCCGATCTCCGTCGTCCATCCTGTTGGTTGTGATTAAATATGGATCGCCAAGTTTTTTTGATTCGTCCAGGTATCCTTTTTGGGCATTGAAGGTACCAGCGAATACCACGGTGTCCCTTGAGTTAATACTTTGAAGTAGTTGAGAAAGGTCGTTGTAGAATTCGTCCTTCATTTAAGGCTAACTGAAATCAGTCGGCGGACACAAGAACACGACGTATGAACACCGACGCCTCGTTCTGTAACTCTTGACTCCTACTGAGCCGTCGAGCGGTACAGCGTAATGTTGGCTACTAAATAGAATCCAGTCAAGAAGTGAGCGCTCAGTAGTGAAAACTATCCCATTCCGAACATCACCAACACCGCGAGCATCGGATACGGAATCGCCAGACACAGAGTTAAAGTTGAGGATGAGGTGGGATCTGGAGAACGCAAAATTATGATTAAAGCCGGGTTTTATCTGCATCTTTCGAAGATTCAACGTACGTCCGTGTTGAAAGTTTCAAGGCTTTTATCTACGCAAGATTACTGGTCGATCTAACAGAGTTTGCGGACAATAAATTATTCTACGTAAAGACATTTTGGTTATAACAATTTAAAAGAAAAGACCATATGGCAATACTGCACGATTTATGCCCAGGATGATTTCGCTGCATCTCAACATGGTGCATACTGCAGAAAATACAGTGTTTATATAGGGCTTTAGCATGGCAACAAAGTAAAGCAAAATACATAAAAAACAGACAAAACATAAAAGAGGGAGGGGTATCACCAATATCACCAGGGTGGGGAGAGACTAACATAAAGTTCTTTTTGCTGACACAGAGGGGGCTTCCATCAATTAATCGCAATCGCTTCGGCAAACCTTGGCAATCTTGCGACTTGTGACTTGTAGACAATTCGAGCGCTGTGCCTTGGTCGAGTTGGTGTTGCGTCATCAGCAGATGTCGAGCAATTGCTGAGGACGGGGTCTTGTAGTTTCGACCGTCGTTTCTATGCGGCGGACTTGACCTCAATTGGGTCAGTTGATTTTGCACCCAGTTCGGAATATGTTCCACCACCCGATTGCGTAACTGTCGCTCTATTCGGCCCATGTAGGTTGCTCCTCAACCTTATTGGAATTGGTAGATTAGATTAGAGTTGGCGTACAGAGGCGGACGTTCTTTTGTCGGGGTGTGGGTATCCTGGTTGTCCGGTAGACGATTTGGGGGTCGGCTGCGTATTAGGTTCGAGCGATTGCTGACCTCAGTTGTTTGTAGAGCAGGCGGCTTACGCCATCACCTTTGAATTGAAGGTGCAATGTGACCCGCAATGTGGGAACTGACGCAATCGGTTCTTTCGCAATTTTCGGTTTGCTAAGCTGATTAACAAATGCTTCGGGGTAAGCGTTTTTCGCTAAAAACTCCCGGAGGTTTTGCAGTTCTTGTTCAATTCTGTCTTCCGTGCAGATTCACCTCGTTCTGTCAAATAAAGTCCGAACAAGACCACGTTTATACTCCAGGGGCATAAAGCTCTTGAAGTGTAAATATTGGCCTGTTCACGTTTCCTTTCGATAAACGGATCGAGCAATCGTTCCGTTTTCTTTTCTGATCATAGTAATGTCAAGGAAATTGAGTGTGTTGTTAGATTCATATTCCATTGTGAAGTGTATATTTGGATGTAGTCTGTTGAGTTCATCCAGAATTTTTGTAGCTTCTTCTAAGCTTTCTGATATAACCAGGGTGTCGTCGACTTATCTTTTGTACAGGATAGGGCGCCCCAGAATATTAGTTTCTTTTTCGTCCAGATGTGCCATGAATAAGTCTGCCAGGACTGGACCCAGCGGGCTGCCCATAGCGACACCATCAATTTGCCTGTACGCATTCCCTGGAAAAGAGAAAGACACATCGGTTGTGCAGAGAAGTAGTAGACGCTCAAGGACGGACACCGGTAGACAGTCGAATTTTTTCTTTCTCGACATAATCGCAGATGATTTGTATGGCTTCACGAACCGGTACATTAGTGAACAGGGATTGAAAATCGAAGGAGGCCATGTGTTTTCCTTGTATGTTGATCTTTTTCAAAATATCCACCAATTCAAAACTGTCCTTGACTGTATGCTTGACCATCGATCTCTGAACTGGTTCTAACACCTTAACCAGCCATTTCGCCATTTTTTGCTGTGGTGAGTTCGTCATGGATACAATTGGTCTGAGTGGCACACCTGGCTTGTGGAGTTTCGGTAGGCCATAAAGTTGGGGAATCTGAGTTCCTCTCGACTTCAGGTCCCGCGCGGTGTTCGAATCGACGAAATGTCCTTCTAATAGAAACTGAACTTCAGAGGCAATTTTCCGTTCCAGCTCTTTAGGGTCATCACATGCTTTTTCTCGTAAGAACTTGCTGGGGTCATTGAGGATACATTCCATCTTTTGTTGATAATCTGCACGGTCCATCAGGACAGCCCCAGAACCTTTATCTGGGTTTAAAATGACCAAATCGGACTTGTCCTTTAATTCTTTTAAAGCGGATAAATGCTCGAGAGTGAGAAGTGACTCTTGTCTCGATGGTGTTATTCGATATTGACGTTCCAAGTAAACCAGTTTCGCTTTTATCCACGACACTGCATCTTTTGAGGTTGCTTTCAGCATTTTCAATTGTTCGAAAAAATATTCAAACTGTGCCTGCGATTCAATGCTGTTGATTTTCTTAGGTGTAACACAAAAGCGAAAGCCACACGAAAGTGCTTGGAGTTGAAGCTGATTTAGCTCGACATATGACAGATTTTTAACAAATTTCTCCGGTCCTTTCGGGAATGAATTATTGGCTAGTTTATGCACTAGGGATTTCTGGAGCTTTGTTATAATACAAAATCTTGTTTTCCAAACAGCATCAGCACAGAAGTTGTAGCTTTCCGTTGTTTGACCTTACTATTATCCCATGAGTGGCAAAGCAGGAGGCATCTCATTAAGTTTTGAAGCAAGAGGGAAAACTAGACAAACCAGAGAGAGGCTTTTCCAAACGGTTACCCAAGACTTTAGGGCATGATATACTTCGCTGTAGCCCACACCGACGAAGGTTTTTTGGTAACCGCAACCGGAGCCTTTGACTCGAAAGTGTGACCCACATAGCGGCGGAACGTAGATCCAACGCGGGAGCTTGACCGAAGCAACCACGTGGGAGATTCTATGGTTAGGGTTATAGGTAAAGAACCCTCTTTGAAGGGTTTCTTGCAGAGGACTCCGTAAGATTAACCAAAGTGGAAACCTTGGGTGCCCAATCAGAACAACAACGGACCTCTCATTGCTTATCGAAGAGGGGTTTTCGCGAAAACTTGAAAGGATAAAACTATGATGCTTGTATCGGATTATGCTTCTGTGTATGTTCTGGATTCCGCCTTGGTACTGCATTCGAAGCATACCGATTTTACTCTTGGCTCAACTCCCATTACGGTCGAGGAGGTCTCAACAGAGTTGCATCGTCTGGATATGATAGTTGACACCAGCTGTCCCTGAAGGATTTGTCGAATAAACTTGCTGGGCATTGACTTACCTGTTTAATCCATCGTTTAAAAAAGATCGCCTTCCGCAGCATTGCGCTCCTACCCAAATATGGGATTAAGATTGAATCTGATAACTTCCGTTCGGTCACCCAAAATGAGACTGGGTAGGGTGACAGAGAGGTTGGTTGCCACCCGACTCCGACATCTTTTGGTGTGCCCAGACGTTTGCGATACCTGGGATATGGATTCCGCCTAAGTCGATCGACTTTGTTGAAGCTGCCCCCGGTTCGTGAAACAAATATGATCTCCAAGAAATTCGATGCAATTCACCCCACCGCCTCCTGGTTAATGAACAAGTTAATGAACCTCTTCTGTGACGGTTACAAGACTTCCCAACCGACAGGAACTTCTATTTCCTCTTGGTATCTTGCAACTAGTCGATTACCTCAAGACTCTATTCTCGGTACTCTGCTATTTGTGGTCTATGCCTATCATTTATCGGTATTAAAAAATGTCTTTTTACTTTCTTTTTTATTGATTGAAAATACAAGTTTACACTCAACATTCAGGAAGGGGGCTGCGGGCCATACAAAGGCTGCCTGAGGAAATACAGAAATAGGGAAGACGGGCGGCGGTGGAGCGGTTCGAACCCGGGACTTCCAGGTCACAAGTTAGTGACCTAACCACTTGGCCACCACTGCCCAACATCATCTGTGCAACTTCGCGGCTTGCCCGAAGTTGCACCTAACCTGGTTACAAAACGTCTGCGAACAGCAATTCCAGCTCGGAGAACACACCAACAAAACTATCCTGTGCTCTATCGCAAATAACAAAAACTAAGTTTGCAAAAATCCAACATCAGAGTGTAGAGTGTATTGTATACTAATATATCGAAAACACTTGTGTCGATGGAATCTGCAAATGTTGTAAAATTGTAATTTACAGTCAAACCAGGGGGTCAGTGATAGAAGATACAAACTCGAAGATGGTAATGCCACAAGATTAAACTTCGAGCTCATCATCAATTGTGCCCATAGAGAAGATGTGCAAATTACTAACTAAAATTATATGTGGCATCCGATGTGAGGTAATGATGGGGATTACGGGGATGTACAAAAGGAAGTCAGCAAGACAGGGAAACTCAGGGGTGAATACTGAAGGAAGGAGCAGATTGGGACACTAGTGTTTTGAAATTTGCTTAAAAAAAATCTAAATTGTGTTCTTTTTGTTTAACCAATGTCTCGCCCCTGGCATACGTTTGGTGATCGCCGTCCTGGTACTTCTTGTGCAAAACGTCTCAGTTTCGTACCGAGTGGCCTCTTGGGTCGGCCAATGTATTTGCATTCACAAATAAATCTAACATAATAGTTAACTAGTGACTTGGTGAAAAACAGTCCTCGATCTTTTTGTGCAATTAACGGAAACCTTATGAGTTCTTATGAAAGCCTGATTTCGTAGACCTTTTACCTTACGAAATAGCAAAACTTTGATAATACTGACTTAAAAGCAGGAATGTGATCGAAATGTGCATTTAGAAAACAGTTTTTTGGTTAACCTTTTCTGAATTCCTTTGTAAAAACCGCTGTTTCAAAAGTTTAAAGTTGTTTGAGTCATTGATATCCTCCATCTGAATCTCAGTGTTATCCTCATCCCTGGCCGAAGAATTTATTGAAATGACTCACTATAGATATTTTAATTACGTGGGTCTATTCCTTGACATCTCTTTGAGTGTAAGAAGCAATAAGCATTATTGCAGCCCAGATTTGCTTTTGTTCTCCCCTCTTCTGGACAGACGTTGGTGGACTTTTTCCGTAAAGTACACACCACAAACTTGGCTACACTCACTGTGTCCATTACTTGCATCGCAATTCTGGCTGTGTATAAGTTTCTTATCAATCCGCGATTGACGAAACGATGTCATTTTCCCTTTCCAATTGAACTGCTTGTGGTAAGTTATTCCGGACTAGAAGCTGTTCAATAGCTGGACACTGTGCACAACAGAATAGGGTGTAATAGTTTTTAATGCATGTTATCTACGTGATGTTATCATTTGATTGAATATACATACATTTCAAGAGGGAATGGAGGCTTACACTGAGCTGTAAAATGTTTATTTTATTTTATATTGTATACATTCTAAAAGGTGATTCCCCACAGCAGAGCTCGTAGATTCGGCTGGATTGAAATAATGAACTCCATCATTAAATAATGCATCTGCACATATTAGTTGCCCAGTTGAGTCATACATTGATGAAACACGAATGCTGTAAGACTTATAAGGACGAACAAAAGGTGTTATTATTTGTCATGCACATGCTTCTCATTTATGACTTCCGACCATTTGCTTCGAGGTGTTATAATCATCCAACTTGGGACCATTCGCCAAATTTTCTGATTTGAAATCTTCGACAACCATGTTCGATCAGAGCTGTCATGTTACCAAAAGCTCTTTCTCTTCGATGACCCACTTTTTCCTACGAACGGAATGCTTATTTTGAACGCAGCCCTTTCGTTTATTCGCTGTATGAAGGCTTTGGTTAATTATTGATCAGTTAAATACCCAAAATCGCCTAGTAAACATGGATCAATCACATTAAGGTCTTTTTGAACGGAGCATTAAAATGATGTCTCGCCTTGCGCTTGTTTTTATGAACAATCCGGCACCGTTATGGACCCTTTTGTAAGTTTTTCACGCCTTTTGGTAGTCGCTAACCATCGTTTAACAATCTGTAGTGACTGTTTAGTAGCATATGGAGGCCACTTACTAGCCACTGGCTGCGGTTCGGCACCCACGGCTTAGGGGAGAATAAACTTATTTTTAATACCGACAACGGGCAAGATCATAACAGCTGCAAAGGCTGCTCCGAGAGAGTGACTTAGCAGTCTAGTTCAAGCGGTTATGGCCCGGTGGAAACGTCACCAAATCATTGCCCAAGAGGTCGGGTTCGAGTCCCACCACCACCGCCTACTTCCTCGTTGTCTGTGTGTTGTATGGCAGCCCCTTTAAAGGAAATGAAGATGAAAGCGGAAAAAATGAAATGAAATGAATTGGCCAAACATCTGCACGTTCAACGCAGAATCGTTTTCCTAAGCCCCGTTCGAATAAATGCGTCAACTCTCACGGGAGTACCAGGAGATGAACACAGATAAACACCTCTGGCTCAATGGCATTACTTTTCCTATCAAGTCTACTCCAAGCTCCAGCGCTAAGGCCATTTGTTTCTCAAAAAATGTCATCATGGGTTTGCAAACACATAACTTCGAGATCAGCACCCTAGGTGGTTTTAGTGTTTATAACAGTGACAGATTGGCTTGATTCGCACCAACCACATCTGTGAGTCACGAGCCGGAAGTGTCTGTCATTGTAAACGTCCTACCACAAGCGAATAACTTGATCACTCGCTTCCCCGATCGTACAGAGGAGTGCGCTCATCCGTTGACTTGTTATTACGTTTCAGTCCTCTTTTCTATGAGTTACCTTCATCTTCTGGTCTCATTTCCTCTGGTCAAATCACCTTGAATTCTCCCATCAACCGTCATCTCGATATTTTCTTCTCGACGCACATTCTGGCGTCACGAGTTTTCTGGTTGGAGTGACTCCTGCAACTTCTTGTCATCCTATTGCTGTCGCGGATCGGGAGTATATGGCAGAGTCTTCTTTAAACCTGGCACATCTTTATTCAAGACTTTGCTAAGCCTGGGAAACAGCAGTCCCTGAATGGGTAACGTATACTTGTTTATCACGATCTGTGAGAAAAAGAATGCCCTCCAAATTTGGGTTTCCTTCACATAAATCCTCTTACCCCTATTATGTGCAAACTCAGAGCAAAAACTCGGTCGTAGGCCCGAATAAACTTGTCAAGTAGGCGATTCTTATAGTCTCAAGTAGCTTTCCAGCATTTTTAACCTTCTTCCTTTCCCGTGGTTAAGAAAGTTGCTGACGACCTGGTCCTATTTTTCTCACAAAGGGCTGAGTTATTTACTCCCCTTTTTTACTTGCGATTCAAAACGAACGCACCACAGCCGTAACCGTTTTTTTTTTATACCACTCCATTTCCCATGCCATATTTCCTAGTTTTTTCAGATTGTTCTTTGATCTTTCCCATCTCTTGCCGAGGTGCATGTTCCGATCCAAACAGTTACCACTCCGTCGCATTCGCTTCGTCCTTCCCTAAGGTTGCTTTTGCTTGGAACGCTGCGAATTTACCAACGACCGCCAATATGAC